TATCTGTATTCCATTGTTCGAAAATGTTGCCTTTGAATAGACATTTATTGAATAGTATTTTTAGATATGTGATAGCTTCGTCTCCGCCTTTCTTCAGCGTTTCTGCTAGGATTCCATCGCTTCCAGGAGCTTTATTCCTTTTTATTTCTTTTACTGCTCTTTCTATTTCTTCGTGGCTTATTCCGGACATCACTTCTGAGTTGACATTTGTTCTCTGCCTTTTCAAGTTCTGCTTTGAGGAGTTAGGGGGATCGTTTCTGGAACGATACTGATCGGGGTAGAACTTTTCAATTAAGTTTGCTATATCAGATTTACTTTTTTCTAGTTGTCCTTTTTCCGTTTTAATGGTTATTACGTTTTTCTTTCCTAGTTTCGGTTTGGCGCGTTTGAGACTTCGGTTTTTCTCTATGACTTGTTCTATATGGTCTTCTTGATGTTTTTTAATGTCCTCTTTTATCTGTTTTCTTATTACTCAATTAAGTTCCTTAAATTCTGCAGTGTCTCTTTTGTTTTGTCTCAGAAGATCTTTTCTTTGTTTCAGCATGTTTTGTGATTCTACACTTATTTTGGATTTTCGTTTTCTGTCAGCAGTTGCCACTTCTAAGCTTGCATTTAATAGTTCATTTGTTATGACAATATTGATTTCATTTAAGCAAAGTTTATCTACATTTAATACTTTCGCGTGTTTTAACTTGCTTTTATATTGTTCTGTATTAGAAATTCGCAATACCAATGGGAAATAGTTGACTGATGTGATGCCTCATTCTCAAACACAGAAACCATTTCAGCGAGACATTGCTGTAGAGATAATCTCAAGATCCATTTTTTGACTGACTTGCTAATTACAAAAATTCACTGTATCTACATGACTTGTATCACAATGAAATTCTCGATTTATATCAACAAAAGATGAGATTACATTTGTGTCAGAAGGATTTATTGGTGGCACCCTCTAAGAGGCTCTATGCAAAACCAAAAGCACAAATCCCATATTTCCTGACCTAACCATTTATTTTTTGTAGGAACAAGTACTCGGGAGGTAATCCTAGGATTAAATCTAATAGTGGAGAGATATGAAAGGTTCAAAAAAGATTATATGAATGCTACATTGATTAAAAAAGCTTTTAATCATAGTAAACATGAAAAATTAATGGGTGTACTAAAAGACATAACTGAATGGATAAAATATCACTATTATTACCAACTTACATTGAAATCACACAGAGTATGTAAGAACATACACACCAATTATATAATAAAACAGATCTTCACATAAAAAAAGACAATAACAAATTAAAAAAATTTATTTGAAACTTACAAAATAAGTGCTTTATTCCTATAACAGATCTTATTTACTGGTTGGAATTAAAAAATATTACATCATCAGCAGCTATCGCTGTTGTTGTTTTTGGCTTCCCATCTTCACTCCTGACTTCTCCGTATGTTATTCTACCACTAACATGTACCCTCTGGCCTTTTTTTAAATAGTTTAGGATTGTTTCACGAAGGCCTGGTTTAAAACATACAATTCTGTGCCATTCAGTTCTTTGCATAAATTCTCCTGACTCATATCTGTAGTTTGTATGTGTAGCTAAGGAAAAAAACTGCTATAGGGTGTTGTTCCGTACCCTTTTTCTGAGGATCTGCTCCAACTCTTCCCAACAACTGAACTGAATTTATAGCTTAAAAAAATAAATTCATTTATAATTTCAAGATATACCTCTAAGGTTAGTTTTTAGTTTTTAATCATATTGTTAAATTATTTATTAAGTAGTAAAACTTCGATATAACGGACCTCTATTTAACGAACTTCGGATATAACGGACAAAAAATCCGGTCAATTGTAAAAAAAAATAATGTACTCTTAAAATAATTATACAAGCTAAACCCGTCACATATCACTGTATTTTACAAAGAATTTCAATAAAATTTAGAGGACACATTTCTAATAGTACCTAACGCCGGCTCCACACATGGTGAGCCAACTTTGGCCCCAACAGCGTTCATCGAATGTCTGTACCGACAAAACTGTGCTGGAGCCAATGTTGGTGCCAAGGTTTTTATGACTTACTCCAACGTTGGGAGTTTTCCGTCAGCAATCTCAGAAAACGAATGAAATTGGCTCGTGAAACTTTGCTGGAAGAAGCAATCTTAAAATGGTGCAGGCAAAAACGTTCTAGTGGAATCCTGGTCCGGATAATCGAATTAAAATATGTATGTTGCAATTAAGTTTTCAAATCATATGGACATACCATTCAGAACAAGTAATGGATGGCTCTGGCACTTTGGAAAAAGGCACGGATCCATAAATAAAAGAATTTACGGCAAAGCTTCAAGCGCATCAAAATAAGAAATAGAACCTTTTAGGCAAAAATTAGGAGAACATAAGTAACGAAATGCTATTAGAATCTCAGATTTACAATGCTGAAGAAACTGGTTTGTTATGGCGCACTTTCATATTGTAGCTCTAAGAAGGCATGGTTTACCTCAGATATTTACAAAAATTGGTTTATTAAAGAATTTGTATCTTCAATGAGAAAATTTCAAGAAAATAATTTCATGTGTCGATAACAACAGCAATGTCACTTCACGTTGAATGTTCTAAGACAATTAAATAGAATTTTGTCTTTATTTTGTATTTTATGTATATATATACATATATATATATATATATATATATATATATATATATATATATATATATATATATATATATATATACTTCATCTAATTTAGATAACGACTTGCGTCATTATCTACGTCAGAGATCGAAGTTGACATAGTTGCCAAAGTATAAAAAAATCCTGACCCCATTTTAAATCAAATAGATTACATAATTATTGCAAAAGTATTACCATCTCTTTACAACGTAAATATTTAAATTCTTACGTGACATTTTTGAAATAAAACACACTAATTTTGTTCTAACAAGAACAGATTTTATTAAATAGTTAAAAATATAAAACAAGTTATATTCACTTTAAAATTCAAAATAATGAAGTACAAAAAGTGTCAACACCGGAACTGTCAAATAAGTGTTACCAATTTATGCCAAAATTTTATCATCGTTCAAATACAGTTAGTGTGTTCCGAACAAATGTTCTTGATAAAAACGCTTTATAATGCATTTATACAAATTAAATGAAACATATTATTGTGTATTTCTTTAAGTTAACATTAATAGAAATTTTTAAATATTATTTCTACGTGTATATAATAAAATATTTCTAGTGGCTGTAATGCCAGTGTACTCAGTAAAGTGATTCTAAAAAAGAACACACCTACACCCTAAATATTTTGTGTTGGTATCATGTGACGTCACAGGCTATGACGCCGATGACGTGCATCGGTATATAAATTAGATGAAGTGTATTTATTTTAAACATATTTTTATATAACCGACTTTCGTCTTTAACAGACACCCTGTCCCCCAAGTAGCCCATTATATCGAGGTTTTACTGTATGTCACAAAGTATTTTCATAAGATCACAAAATTTGTGTAATCTTGTTATATGTATTTTTACTTCATTTATGTGTGATGAAATTTAAATAAAAAATATTAATGTGTAATATCTTCCTACATTCTATAAACAATTCTGAACCTTTAGCTTATTCCTTTATTATAAAGAATAAGTTTACATTTTGTAGCTAAAGTCTGCAGTACTTAAGCTTTTTAGTTAACACAGAATAGAAATATAATTAATAAGTAATTATTATTTATGATCACCTTCCCCCAGTACATCCACCTTCTTTCATCAGAGAATGCACAAGCAGATACTCCATGCTTAACACATGGAAGCATAAACTACATTGAAGAGTCAGCAGATTCATATTTTACCTCGAGTAGATTGAGCACTTGAGTTGCTGTATATGAATCCCACATCTGAAATAATTTTTGCCCCTGAGTAAACAGCATTAAACAACATATCCTGCTCATCAAGGAGCGACATGTTTATACCAAAACAGTAATGAAGCATAAATAAGAGAAGTCTCCAAATACCAAAACTGAAATTGTTGATAGGAGTAGAATTGTTTACCTGTGAAAACTTTTCATTGTTACTTAGCAAATTTGACTACACAATTTTTTAAATGCTTTGTCTTGTTAAGAGGATTCTTCATAGTAGAAATTGGGGTTATATTAGGTATTTAATTGATACATAATGGGCAAATTTAAAGTCTTCTTACTTTTTTCTATCCTTGGGGGTTCTTGTTGAACTGTGGTATTGTTGCGAACAGTGCTGACACAACTAGGTGCTCTTTGTTTTAAAAGAGAAGGTAAACATTTCAAAACCTTAAAATAAATAAATCAGTAATCATTTATTGTGTATATTTTAAATTACTTACTTTTGAAGAAATCATTTTGTATGTGTGAATTCTAACCTAACCTCTAAAAATATAACCTATTTTTTCGTTTTGATAATTTGTGGTTATTAGAGAGTTAGAGACAGACATAAACTGTTTCTGAATATTTTGGAGCTGTGACAATCTGCGAGTCGCATCTGTTGATATTTTTAATAGAATAATTTAATTTGTATCTAATATTATTAAGTAATAACTTTATAAAACTTGTTTATCAATTTTGTTCGTTCGTGACGCATACCTATCAATATTTTTAGCTTTTAATATTTTGGTCTTGTTTTTATTTTGGTGACAAATATCTTGTCTATTTTAATATTTTTTATTGTGGTTTTTCGTAGCGGAACGGAATTGGTCTAATATTATCATTAGCTAAAAAATCTTTACAAGCTCTCAAAGATTCTAAAAATTGTACCTACCAACCAATAATTAATACCTGTTTTATAGTTAATTCTTCACATTATCTTTTAAATAGGTATATAATTTAATAATAGAAGGGAAAATATCGGTTTTCGGATTTTGATATTTCGGATCAATTATTGAATTTGTCCATTATTATCTAATCATTTATAATTTCTTTTTCTTAGATTACATTATTATAATCTGACATTATGTATTATGCCCACCTTTATCCTTCTAATAAACAAATACATAACCTCAATCCTTTTTGTGAAATATAAATATAACCATGGAAGTTATTATTAAAGGTTTTAGAATATTTAAGTTGTCAACTGAATCTTTACTTACTTCTACAAGTTCTAGAATTAGTAATTACTATAGACAGTATGGTAAGAACTCCTATTTTTGACTATTCTATTCATAATTTTATAGCTTTCGCCCCCATTTCAAAATGTGCATACTCAACAGAAAGTGTATGCAATTTGGTTAAATTTGAATTAAATTATATTTTATAAGAGTAACATTCCGCTCTTACGAGAAAACTTTTTATCTTTCGAATCTTGTTTATCAATTAAAGGATGTTTTACAGAATTTTAGTTGTAATTACATAATTTTAATAAATAAATTACTTTATTTAACATTTAGAATGTCGTATCAAAACAATTCAATTCAAGAAATTAGTTGTTCATTCACCTCATTCATTTACACATTAAACACTCATTTACACCTGATCTATTCATAAGTTGTGTTATTTCAATCATCATCTTTGGCTATACAACCCTGGGTGGGTTTTGGCCTGTTCAAGAATTAGTCTCCATTCCCCCCTATCTATTGCCCTGGCTTTCCAATTTCTGACCCCTAGATTCCTCTAGATCCCTAGATTATTTCAATAACATTTTGAAAATTATTTGGTATATAATTGATCATTTTAAGAATATTATTAATACTAAAGAATAAACTAAAAATATAACACATGAAGCTTAATACTAATTTACTCTGTTCCCATCTGGCAGTATTTTTTAAAACTTGTAAATATGGATATAACTTTTTTGTTAACAAATAATTTAATTATTTTTTACTTACAGCCACTCCACCCAAACGATTTTATAAAAATACTGGAATATTACGTAGTGATGGTAAATTTGAGATCACCCTTGATCAAAGAAAGTTAAAAACACCAAAGGGAAATATTTTTGCAGTTGAAAGTGAAGCTTTAGCTTTAGCAGTAGCAACAGAATGGAATTCTCAAAAAGACAAAATTGTTAGAAGTAAAATGCATCTGGTATATATTTCCAAGTTATTATAGTTTTCATATTACTGAATGTAAAGTTAAATTTAATTCATATAAGAAGTAAAATTATTTTTAATACTGTTAAATTATATAGTTATTTCATACAGTGACAGAATTCTTTTATTTAGTTTTCAGTAGCTGGGACTCAGGAAGATCTTCTAATTCTTTGGTTTTCACAATTGAATCTATTTTTGATTATTATTTTGATGACTTTGTTTATAGCATCCAGTAAGCTGATCTACTTTGTGAATCATTGAATTGTGTGAGAATTGCATGTGGTACTTTCCAGTATAAATCCCAACATTGTATTTCTTAAAACTTTCTGCTAATGTGTGGTTTATGTGTTTCTCACAGACATATGCCACATCTCCTATATTTAAATGGAATTTATGGGATATTTTAACAAATGTGGGTGTTTGCCACAATCTTGTAATAATTCGCATTATATTATATCCTTTATTTAAAAGGAATTTATATTGTTATTTTAAGAATAACATGATCTCTTGACAATTCACCATATGACTATTCAACATCATCAGTGCCTTGGCGTATTTCAATTGACACTTTTTTTCAAGAGTGTGCTAGTAAGCTACGAGCTGCTTTAATGCATTTTACAAGGTAAAATTGAAAGAAAATGGGCCCCAGGACGAAGAATATCCTGGCTTGCTAACCTGAATCACATGGTATAGAAAGACCTCAACACAACTATTTTGTATAGCAACCAACAAAGTCATCTTAGCCAGAGTGATTGCCAACATTCGGAACAGACAGGCATCCTAAGAAGAAGTGCTAGTAACCTTAGTTGTCCTCCATGGATAAGGCAATACTGTTTCCTGTGGATGGATACAGTTGTAGTATTTCAGGGTTTTCTGCATTTTTCTATTGTTTGGATTGAGGTATTGGACTCTTGCTTGTCTTGTTTAATCTGTCACATACAATTGTATTGAATTATTTACAAATTTGGACTGTGTTATTATTTTAGAGCATGAAATTTGTTTGGGCAGACATGTGAGCTCCCATATGTCTCAAAAGGAAAATTTTTGACTGTGTGTGTTACACTCACTTATGGAAAGGAAAATTAACACTAAAAAAGGTAGTTAACAAGATTTATTTGACTCAGATGATTATCCACTGCCAGATGGGTGCGTATCTGAGAGACTGAATCCCTATTGAAGAAATATGTCATAGAACAAAAACAACAGACACTATGGAAAAAAATCGCTTTTGTATTGTCCCACCAATCAGATAGACTGATGGCCTGAAGCGTGTTAGCAGTAATTGGATGCAAGCCACACAAGACAGGGGCAGATGAAATGAGCCTAGAGAGACCTATGTCCAGCAGTGGATGCATACAGGTTGATGATGAGACTGACTTTACTTGAGATCATCAAACTTCTTATTTATTCCTTTGTGTATGTTCCTAAGATGTTTATAATACAAAATACACTGTATCTCAAAATAAATGTAACAAAAATGAACTACATACATTGTCTATATGTACCTAAATATATTATCTTTTTAGACAACTCTGTGTAATACCACCATGGACAATCCTAATAACTTGACAAAATATGATATTGCCAATTATATTGTAAATTACTTGGACACTGATACTGTCCTATTCCAGGCTAATGTAAGTATAAAGTGCAATGTGCAACTATAGTATCTCTAAACATTAATAATTACTTTTATAAATGTATGTGTTAAATTAGGTTTTCTTCCTACACCTATCTGCCCTGCTATTCTGTCTTTAAGAATTAGTTGTAGCATTCTATATTGATTTCCCCTCAATACATGTTTCAGGTAAGACATTTTCCAGTATCTTAACACTTGGTTGACCCTACTTAGTACCTCCTCGTTAGTTTTCCTTGCCTTCCAAGATATTTTCAGCATTTCTCTATGAATCCACATTTCCAATGCTTTAGTTATGTTCACTCTTGATACTTTTAGTGTACACAGTTCAGTTCCATACAAAAGTACTGATCAAACCTTGCACTTTGTTAAAACTGTTAAATAAATGCAACACACCAGTTGAGTATTCAGTAAGACTAACTTTATTTTGTTCCAAAAGTGAATACAATTGACAGTTTACAATGTATCATTCTTAACTTCCTGTAAATGACATATGGCGCTAATATTTAAATTTTGTTTAGTGGATATCAATATTGTAACACATTTGATCATTTTTTGTCTTAGATCTAAATTGAAGTGGTTTTAATTTTTTGAACTTGTTTAACTTATTTTTTCCTTTAAACTGATTTTTTAGCATTTAGGAACAGGAAAAATTTTAAAATGTTCTAAATAATGCATAGGCATAGGCTGCTTCAAATATTTCAGAGAACTGACACACAAATCAGCATATAGTTTGCAATATCCATTGCAAATCCTTTATTTTTTAAAATAGGGATTCCTTTCGATTCCTTTATATCGGGAAATATTCCGCATGTTTTTATAGGATTCATTTATGAGATAAGATAATATAGCTATATAAGTGGCAACATGTTTCAAAGCTTTTCCATCAATTTCGTCTACCCCTGCAGCTGTTTTAGAAGCAATTTTCAATACAATAGAAATAACTTCTTTTTCAGTGGTTGGTGATAAAAAGAAACCTAAAAGATATTAAATTTTGAATTGATTGACAATTTTTACCTCTATTTTTATTAATTAGGTATTTTCCAACTTTTCTTCATTACATTATTGCTATTTCTAAATTAATTATCATATTGTTCCTTTTTTGTTTTTTAACAATTTTTTGATATCCTTGTTTAAATTTCTTGTATCGTTCCGAATATTGTGGGTTATTAAGTTGTTTTCTTAACCCATTTATCTGACACAATTGATCATGCAAACCCTTAATATGAGGTGCAAACCACGTTTTTTGTATTGGTCTGGTAGTTACTCTACGTTCTAAGAACGAAGTATTATAATAATATAAGAAAGTATCATAAAATATTGAAAATTTTTCTTCAAAACTACTAGCCACATATAGATCACTCCAATCAATATTAGCTAAAATATTTTGAAAAGTTATTAAGTTGGCATCGCATAAGTTTCTGCTAAAAATAGTTTGAGGATTTTTTCCAGTAACTTTCATATCAAAAGCACATAATTGATAAGTATGATCTGATAGAAGTGTGTCACATACACTCACCTTTTGAACATTTAAATTGGAAAAAAAGTTGTTGATACACGTTGAAGAATTTTTAGTAATTCTTCTAAGTACATGTATGTGAAATTAAATGTTGTATTCTAAAAATAAGTTTATTACAATATTTTTCTGATTGCTATTTTCTAAAAGATTTATATTAAAATATCCATATATAACGTAAAAATCATTATTGTTATAAATACTCTGCAACAATATTTCTAACTTCGTAATAAAAGTATTAAAATTCACACTATAAGGAGGTCTGATATAGTTACAATAAATAAATATTTTTTACTTCCATGAACATTAAATTTTACTCAACATATTTCAACTTTGCTTTCAATACACCATTGACGTAAATTTAGCTGTTCACAACTAAACTTATTCTTCACAAATATGCATAAACCTCCATTTTCTTATATTATTTCTTGCGAAATAAGACACTAAATTAAAGTTTTCAATATTGGTTACTTTAAGTTTATCTTCTTTCAACCAGTGTTCATTAAGGGATAAAACATTCACATTATTACTTTGAAGTATCAAATTTATATCGTAAGATTTCCGTGCAAGTCCTCCTTGTATATTCCCCATCGCATTTCTAAAACCAAATTGGTTTTCTTCGCATGTGTGCCTAATTCTGTTATAAAGATAAAATAAGAAAATTAAGGAAAATCTTAAGAGTATGGCTCATTAGGCTAATATATCGATATTCTGAGCATCTCCTATAAGCATGAGGGGATCCCCAAAAGGAAGCTACGCCCGTGGTTCCATAATTTTTTAGTTCAGTCTTTTGCATTATCAATAATTCACCCCAGTTCGTTATTTTTGTTAAATAAATAGTCGTGAATAGGAGACAAACCTGTCTATGGTTGACAGAGCGACTGACATGTGTAAAATGTCAACGTTTTTAAGATGGTATTGTAACGTAACCACTTTTAATTATGTATTTATGTATCACGTTTATTTGAGTTAGTATTACAATAAAATATCAACACATTCTTTTATTTTATATTAATCTATATAACATTGGTTATGGGCCCAGATTTACAAAGAGTGTGTTGATTAAGAAAAGATAAAAACGTGAAAAGAGGCTAGTAAAGGCACACGTGGTTGTGAAAGTTCAAAAATGGAGAAGTCAACTGAAAACAAATATGGCATAATACCTTTTAATGGAAACAGTTTTGATAACTGGAAATTTAGGTTGTTTTCAGTATTGAAGGCCCTGGAATGTAGTGAAGCTTTGAAGCCGGTTCCCGCGGTTGATAGAAATGACGAATGGCACAAGAAAAACAATAAAGCATGTATGGTAATTATTCAAAGTATTGCTGACTCGCATTTGGAATACATCAAAGAAGTGGAAATAGCTCATGATATGATAAAGAAACTGGAAGGAATTTTTGATAAAAAAGGTACGTGTTCTAAGTTTTATTTATTAAAAGAATTAACAACGTTAAAATACACCAATGACATAGATATTCAGGATCATTTCTCAAGATGTGATCGACTGTTCAGAGAACTTAAAAATCTGGGAAGTAATTTTGATGAATCTGATATGTCTTGTTTCCTATTATTGTCAATGCCACAAGAGTTTGAAAATGTAGTCACAGCCATAAGAACTTTATCAGAAGATGATTTAAAAGTAGAATTTGTGAAAAGTAGGTTGTTGGAATTTCATTCCAATAAAAATTCAAGAAGCACAAAAGTTTTGCCTTCATCTTTTAGTGCAACAGAAAAGCAAGTAAAATGCTTTAAGTGTGGAAAAATTGGGCATGTGAAGAGTGTATGTGGAATTAAATGTTTCAACTGTGGTAAGATGGGACACAGAGCAAGTCAATGTTTAGTCAAAAAGCAGAATGTGAATGACAAACAAAAAATTGGAAACAGGGCAAATTATGCTATGAATGAATGTAATGGAGAAGAGGATAATGCTGTTGCTTTCTGTGCAACATCTGAAAGTGTAGACGGTTTAATCTTGGAGTGGTATGCAGACTCAGGGGCTACACATCATTATATAAACAATGAAGAGGTACTGATAAACAAGAAAAGATTTGCAGAGAGAAGAGAAATACAACTGGCAGAAAAAGGAAAAAGTATGGAGGCAACATGCATAGGTGATTTACAAGTGACAAGTGTGGTGGAAAATAGAAATGTGAAAATTACTTTAAAAGATGTATTTTGTGTACCAAAATTAAGAGCAAATTTGTTGTCTATACCTACCATTGAAAAGGCAGGATTTGAAATTGTATGTTATGACGGTAAGATCTTTATAAAAAAAGATAATAATGTTTTTGTAATAGGTAAACGTCTTAATAATTTATATAAAATTATATTTAAAATCAATGTTGAATCTAATATTGAATCTGCAAATTTAGCACTAAATATAGATATTTGGCACAAAAGGTATGGTCATTTGAATTATGGTTCTATTTCAAAAATTAAAAATTTAAATATAGTTAATGGTTTAGAGTTTACCAAATCAAAGGTTGATAAAATTTGTGATGTTTGTGTACAATCGAAACAAAAATGTTTTCCATATAATTCGAAAATATCCAGAAGTACTAGAGTTCTTGAATTAGTTCATACGGATGTATGTGGTCCAATCACACCAACATCACGTAATGGTTATAAGTATTTCATAACGTTTGTTGATGATTTTTCTAGGTTTGTTATGGTATATACTGTAAAAGGAAAGGACGAAGTTTACAATTGTTTTAAAGATTATACAGCGAAAGTGACATCATTATTTTGTAATAAACCTATCTCAAAATTAAAATGTGACAATGGAGGTGAGTATTGTTCTAATGCAATTTTAAAGTTTTGTTCAGAAAAGGGAATTCAAATATCATACACTCCACCCTACACTCCCCAAATGAATGGAGTTGCAGAACGTATGAATCAAACATTAATGGATAGAGCAAGATGTATGATAAAAGAGGCAGGAATAAATAAATGTTTTTGGGAAGATGCAGTTCTCATGGCAGCATATATCAACAACAGAACGCAATCTTGCTTAATACAGAATAAAAGTCCTTTTGAATTGTGGCTTGGTAAAAAGCCAAATGTCTCTAATATGCGAATTTTTGGCTGCATAGCATATGCCAGGGTACCAGATGCTTTGAGAAAGAAACTTGACGATAAAGGAGTGATGTGCCGATTTATTGGTTATACAGAAAATGGTTATAAGTTATGGGAAGAACAAGAAAACAAGTTAATTCACAGTAGAAATGTAGTATTCGATGAAAATAATTTTATGAATAAAAAGGAAAAAGATCTGAGAAGAAACAGAGAAAAAGAAGATGAAGAAAATTATGATATACAAGAAAATAAAATTGAAGAAAGAGGAATACAAACTAAAGCTGGAGATGAAGACAGGAAGTCTGATAGTGAAGAAGACAAGGAAGAAGATAAAAAGGATAATGAAGGAGTGCCTTCTGGAAGTACCCAAAATGGCAGACCAAGAAGAGTAAGAAAATTACCTGAAAAATATGACATTTATGAATTAGATGCAGCAAAGTGTGATGAAGAATTAGATATAAGCTGTTTGGCACTACTTAGTGAACTAACAAATGTACCGAAGTCTTACTCAGAAGCAAAAGAAAGTTCAGAATGGAGTTCATGGAAACAGGCAATTGAAGATGAGTTGGATGCACTGAAAAATAATAATACTTGGGAATTAGTTGAGAAGACATGTAATCAAAAGGTAATTAGTAATAGGTGGGTTTTTCGGTTAAAGGAAAATGATGTTGGTAAGCCTGTTTATAAAGCTCGATTAGTTGCACGAGGCTTTGAACAAAGTCATTTCAATGATTTTTCACAAATACATGCTCCTGTAGCAAAGTTGTCTACATTAAGAATAATATTGTCTATCTGTAATCATTATAATTTACTATTGTTACAATTAGATGTGAAAAATGCTTTCCTGAATAGTTCTCTGAAAGAAAAAACCTTTATGAAAATACCTGAAGGTCTTATGAGTTTCGAAAAATGATCAAAATAAAGTATGTTTATTGAATAGGGCAATATATGGTCTCAAGCAATCCCCAAAGGCATGGAATGAGAAATTTAATGAATTTATGCTACTGTTAAATTTTAAACGTTCAAAAACAGACTACTGTTTATATAGTTTTATTAATAAGGATATAAGATGTTACTTGCTGCTTTATGTAGATGACATTTTGATGGCTTGTAATAATGATGTATTTTTGAATTATTTGAAAACAAAATTGTGTGAATCTTTTAAAATGAATAAAATAAGCAGTCAGTTTAACTTTTTGGGAATAAGAATTGACAGAGATTTTGAAAATAGGATCATAACTCTTGATCAAATACCTGCAATTGAAAATCTTGTAAAACGATATAATGTTGAAGACAGTAAAAATTTTAAAACACCAATTGAAAAGAATTTGAATTTACTGAGAAATACTGATTGTAATCTTAGTACTAATTTACCATACAAAGAACTGTTAGGTAGTCTTATGTACATAATGATGGGTACTAGACCTGATATTTGTTTCAGCATTAGTTATTTTGGGAGATTTCAAGATAGTGCTACTAATGAACATTTTAAGCATTTGTTAAGAGTACTGAAATATTTGAAATCTACTATTAACTTTAGGTTGTATTTTTATCATTTAGAAGATACTTCTTGTTTTGATTTAGTTGGCTATACTGATGCTGATTGGGCTAATGACATAAATGATAGAAAATCCATTAGTGGATATTGTTTTAAACTTTTTAATAATCTAATCTCATGGTCTTCCAAAAAGCAAAGTTTGGTAACTTTATCAAGTACAGAATCTGAGTTTGTGGCAGTATGTGCAGCTTCATGTGAATTAATTTATATAAAAAACTTACTGTTAGATTTGGAAATTAAATTATTATTACCAATCACAATATTTGAAGACAATCAAAGTGCTATCAAACTGCTACAAAACTTTGAAAACAATAAAAGGTGTAAACACATTGAAGTAAAATTACATTTTGTTTTGGATCTGGTAGCACAGGGTATTATGAAGATTGAATATATTTGTTCAAATGAGCAACTTGGAGATATATTTACAAAGTCTCTGTGCTATGAGAAATTTAATTATTTTGTAAATAAGTTAGGTTTGAGGGTTTAAATTTAGTTTTGTATACTGACAGGTTTGAGGGAGGGTGTTAAATAAATAGTCGTGAATAGGAGACAAACCTGTCTATGGTTGACAGAGCGACTGACATGTGTAAAATGTCAACGTTTTTAAGATGGTATTGTAACGTAACCACTTTTAATTATGTATTTATGTATCACGTTTATTTGAGTTAGTATTACAATAAAATATCAACACATTCTTTTATTTTATATTAATCTATATAACAATTTTTAGTATTAAATTTTCTTTCTTTATTATTATTACCTTTTGGAATTAAATTTTAACTTTTATTCTTTCGTTCTTTTTCCATTATTAATAATAAATTATTGTTGGTTAAGCTGTTTACTTTTCTCCATGTACATTTCACACTTGTATCAGATCTACTTTTCACTTCTTATAAAGAAGTCAATTTTAGGAAGATGAAGAGTTATTTAGGTTTCAAGTTCAAGAATGGGATCCAATTATCCAATGGTTCAATGAAAAGTATGGAGTGCATTTAAAGAAATCAGTTCAAATGGATATACCAACAGCTAATGAAAAGGATAAGACGCAATTTCTCAAACATTTAATGTCCCATAACTTTGCCGCGGTTAATGGTAAGGATTGAAGTTTGTTTATAGCTATACTAATCTAGAATAATTGTATTCACTGGTGACCGTAGAACTGGGCGAAGGCGGGCTAACATTTTATGTACGAGCCCATTCCCATATCAGATGACCCAACGTTAGATTCTTAAACCATTAAAACTTATAGACACGCCTTGTACCGAATCGTTGAAGCAAACACCTTCAGCGCAAGTTACGTCACAATATGGCAAGAACTCTAACATTAGATTGGATTTTTCGAAAAGCCCTAATAAAATTACCTAATTTTAGATGAATATACTGCAATGAAAACTGCAATATTTTGTAAAAGATATGGAAGATAAATCATTTAGCAAAGGAATAAAGGAATATTTTTGAATTAAAGTAATTTTGTAAAAATAAATGTTTAATTTGAAAGTGTTTTTACCTCTTCTTGTTTGATAATGAAAAATAAATTTAAAGGATAGAAATTTTACTTGTAGATAGAAGTTTCATTTTAGGGGAAAAATTATGTATATAAATCTATTTATTGACCACAAAATAAAATAGATTATTTAACTTACTTTTAAGTCTATTGACATTATTGCTGAAGTTCTTACCTTTATTGCAATAATGAAAATGAATTATTTTTATTTGACTTTTATATTCTTTCTTTAAGATGTTCTAGTAAAGATTTTAAGGTATTAACTTTTTTAACAAGCCTTCTATTTTGTTGTTGCAACATTTTGATTTGTTGTTTTTTCTTTTTAACACGTTCGCTGCCGACTATATTTTGTAAATCAATGCCTCCGTGAGCCAGCCATTCTTTTTTTAAGTGCTCCTATGAGCCACCATATAACAAATGTGTTGGTCCCATGGGGACAACGCGGCCCAGTGAACCGTACTAATGCTTCTGTGCGCCGTTGGTCCGTCGCAGTAAACATAACCTAACATAAATAAACGAATTTGCATTGCCTATTGTTCATGTGCCTATTGTTCATTGTTTTTCATATCAATAAATTGAAAGAATAAATTGCTGTAAGTATTAAATAATGTTTAAATTACAATATTTTTACAACATATTGTGTAAGTTTAGATGTCTCGACGTTCTAAACCTCTAACAGAGCGTGAATTGCAAAACATTGCAATCAATTTTGGAGAACTCTCCGATGACGATGATGAACCATTCAAAGCTTCTGATAGTGAGTACCTGTGTAGTTCAGAAGAAGAATCAGATTCGTCAGATTCAGAAGAAACGGTGGAAAATGTACGAAAGTTTTTACAGAGAAAAAAAATAAAATTAGATTCACAACCTATTCGTCATGTTCACGATAATATCAATCCAGGACCGAACTTGAATTCAATGCATGATCCAGAACAAACTAATCATAATCTTCAAGGTAATATCGTTCCAGGACCGAACTTAAATTCAATACTCGATCCAGAACCGAACTTAGATCCACACCGTAGTGAAGATCCAGTACCGAATATAGAACCAAATTGGGGTCCAGTAGTAGGTAATTATAAGCTAATAGCACCTTTTTCTATTGGAGTATTGGCAAATGGTACGCCTGGAGACTTTTTTGTTGCTGTGGTCGATGACAGAGTAATTAGTCTGATTTATAACCAAACAAATATATATGCAACTCAGTCTGTACTGACTGCAGACGCAACACCAAGCTCTCGCTTACATGACTGGATTCCAACGACAAATATTGAAATTAGAAAATTTTTAGGACTGGTTGCCTGGATGGGTTTAGTGAAAATGCCAAAAATCGCAGACTATTGGAGTAACAATAACCTATTCTACAATAATTTTGCAAAGAATGTAATGTCTAGAAATCGATTCGAGATGCTGTTAAGGATGTTTCACTTTAATGATAGTTTATTGGCAGATACAAGTGATAAACTGTATAAGTTAAAGCCACTTGTCGACATTCTGACTGCAAATTTTAAGTCTTTATACGTGGCGGAAGAATATGTCTGCATCGATGAAACCCTATTACCCTTTAGGGGACGCTTGGGGTTTAAACAGTACATTAAGACAAAAGGACACAAATATGGTGCAAAAATTTTTAAAGTATGTTCTGGATCTGGATATACTTACAATTTCAAAGTATATGCAGGGAAAGAAAATAGTTCTAACGTCACTCCAGAAAGCGTTGTTCTGTATCTTATGGAGGATTTAGTACATCAAGGAAGAACTCTGATAACCGACAATTGGTATACAAGTTTACCGCTAGCAAAAAAAAATGTCCGTTGATACACACCTGATAGGAACTGTTCGAAAAAATCGAAAATATTTACCTCAAGAAGTAGTAGCTGCAAAATTAAATAAAGGGCAGATTGCTTCTATGAAAAGTGATGATGGAGTGACCATTACAAACTGGAAAGACAAAAGAAATATTTACATGCTTTCTACTAAACACGGCAATGAAATGGTCGAAGTATCTTGTAATCGACAAACTAAACTGAAACCCAAGGTGGTAATAGATTACAATAAAGGCAAAGCGGCAGTAGACTTATCTGACCAAATAGGAGCGTATTCCAACCCCCTAAGGAAAAGCGTAAAATGGTTTAAAAAAGTGGGGTTTGAATTATTATTAACTACATCAGTTATAAATTCTTTTTTAATATATAAGCTTGTAACAAATAACAACATGTCGGTGACAGATTTTAAAAAACAAATAGTGAAACATCTAGTTACTTATAAAGAAACCACTACTGTACCACGAAGTGTGTCAAATAATCACCATCAGCTTGAACAGAAGGCAGACGGAAGTAAACAACAACGAAGGAAGATTTGCAAGAACTGCTACAAAAAAAATAGTGAGCAACACGGCCGCATACTCAGTATGCTATGAACAAAACTAAAAAGGTAGACACCTTTTGCAAAAGCTGTGACAAGGAACCTTTTCTGTGTATAGGTTGTTTTAATGAATTACATAAAATTTAAATAACTTTTTTTATTGGTTGTTTTACATTATTTGATTTTTCTGTTGTTGAAAAACATGTTTGTATCAATAAATATCATTCCAAAGTTGTAAATAACGTTTTTGACTTATATGGGACCACATTTGTCATACTCCATAAATCGCACAAATTCTCTATACAGCACATACCTTGTAGGCCTCGTTGGTCCATTCCCATGGTGATTTAATACTAAATAAACACCAATGGCTCGGTACATATCGGAATAAATGTTGGTCCCATAGGGCCACCATGGCCTGTTAATGCAATACTTGCGTTGGTCCCATTGGACCAACGTGGCCTATTGAAGCAACATCGGTGATGGACCCATCGGACCAACATGGCAGCGAACGTGTTAAATAATTTATTTACTATCACTTTATATTCCTGATCTCTGTTAGATGATTCTTGTTCAACAAAGTCACCAAGATAATGTCTTCGCTTTTTTAATGAAGGTTTTTTCTAAGGTAGTTTCCTCTAGAATTTCTACTGGAGTCTTTACCATCTACCAGTCGACTGGTAGTAGATTCACTCGTTGTTATATTTTCACTTTTAGAGCCTGTTGTTTTGTCTGAGACAGTTTCTTTTCAGAAAAAAATTTTCTAGTTTTAACTTGCTTAATAAACAGTTTGGAAAATCGAAAATGCTGGATACAGCATCTTTTTTGAGTTGTTTTTTGAACTCCATCCGCTAGTAATAAACGAATCCGCCGTGAAATGCTTGGAGCAAATTTTAGAACTATTTGATGGTTTAAAATTTTCACGGCATCGCCATAATCCATTTTTTTGCAATTATGAATCTTTAGAAAATCTAAAACAATTTATTTACTTTATCCTTCAGCTTTCAACGTAATTATAAAATAAAAATTATATAAGACTCTCATATATGTATCTATTTTAAACACTTTGGATGCAAATAGTATAATAAAAAGACGATCAAACATCCAGAAGTATTAGTATAAGAAAAACAGTAAGGCATGGTGATGTATTGTCACAATTAAATTAAAAAATAAATACCACAATTTGATACTTACATTTTTTTAGGATTCATGTATGGGGTAGATACACTAAAATCAGTAGTTTTAACCATGGCTTCCACGGAGAGATTTATAAGCCCAGAGAAAGCAGTATTACTGTCGCGGTTAGAAGAAGAATACCAGAGTGGTCGTTGGGGACGAGTTGAATGGGCTCACGATTTGAGTCAACAGGATCTACAAGCTAGACTGTCTGCCGTTGTTCTATATGTTTACTTTAATTCTCAAAATAACTCGATACAATCGAAACAAATAAATTCTTAATAAAAATTTAATAGTAGTTCTTTTTGTTAAATGTTTTTGGCCTGCTCAAGCTATATCTTTCAGAAGTTCGATAATCTGCAACTTTTTAAATATTTTGAATTGAATGAAAAACATTACATAGAACTGGAACATTCCTAATTCTCCAAGGAATTATAAAACAATATAAGATCAACATAATAGCTCCGAGCCAGAGTGACTATACTGGAAAATAGCGAATATGTATTCTCTAACGGCTGCCATTCGAATGAAGATATATTTGGAACAAGTTTCCTAGTAGACAAAAGACCAAGATTATCGTAATCGACTTCAAATCATACTCAGAGAAATTATGCAGACATGCATATAAGAATAAGAGAATGATTTTTCAACTACACCATTTTAATTGCATCTGTGCCAGCAGAGAAAAACAGGAATATAAAGAACGTTGTAGCCTTTTTTGTCCATTCTGTATATATTATATTTCATAAAGTTTTTACTTACCACTTTGGAAATTGCGTCTTTAAATCTTTGCAGAGAATAATTGATGAAAATTAATGGGAAAATCCAGTAGTTGGCTGTATATCATAGTTAAAAAACTTTACAGAAGTAAAAAAATCAAGTCGGTCAGATAGCCAAGCGGACTGGGCGGCCGGTTCTCATTCGCTTCACTGGGAGTGGTTCAGTGGATGTGGGTTGGATCCCCAGCTCGGTGTACAGAAAACAAAAAAAAAGGCTAACGCAGCAGTTTAAAATTCTAGATGAATCTGCTGATTAGACTAGAATATACTGGTGTCTGATCGGCCTATGGTGGACCAGTACGACAAGAGATAAGGCTCGTGCGGCTCCGTGATACTCCTCCTTAGATCCCTACCGGAAGGGCGTGCCGCCTAAATACCGGTATATATTCTTATTAGGGTGCCTGTCCGTTCCGAACGTTGGCTGTGCTGAGGTCTTTCTATACCATGCTCTCAGGTTAGCAAGCCAGGATATTCTTCGTCCTGTGGCTCTTTTTCCTTCAATTTATATATATATATATATATATATATATATATATATATATATATATATATATATATATATATATATATATATATATATATATGTTCGGAAACATTTCCGCGGTTAGTACAATAAAACCTAGAGCTAAGATTAATATTATTACTAAAATTAATATCAAACTCACCAGTCTTCCGGGTTGAACCGCGTCGTTGTCCATTTTGCCAAGCTTTCGGCATCGTCTCTGATGCCTTCCTCAGGGCTTCCGAGGTCTCAGTCTCCCGAGCCCCCAGACACTACTACACTGTTCACTATTCACGGCACGAACACTACTGTTCCAGTAGTATTCGTGCCGTGAATAGTGAACAGTGTAGTAGTGTCTGGGGGCTCGAACACTACTGTTCCATTAGTATTCGTGCCGTGAATAGTGAACAGTGTAGTAGTGTCTGGGGGCTCGGGAGACTGAGACCTCGGAAGCCCTGAGGAAGGCATCAGAGAGGATGCCGAAAGCTTGGCAAAATGGACAACGACGCGGTTCAACCCGGAAGACTGGTGAGTTTGATATTAATTTTAGTAATAATATTAATCTTAGCTCTAGGTTTTATATATATATATATATATATATATATATATATATATAATATATATATATATATATATATATATATATATATACGAGATTTATATATATTAAGAGATATATTTATATATATATATATATATATATATATATATATATATATATATATATACGAGATTTATATATATTAAGAGATATATTTATATATATATATATATATATATATATATATATATATATATATATATATACACTTCATCTAATTTAGATAACGACTTACGTCATTATCTACGTCAGAGATCGAAGTTGGCATAGTTGCCAAAGTATAAAAAAATCCTGACTCCATTTTAAATCAAATAGATTACATAATTATTGCAAAAGTATTACCATCTCTTTACAACGACTATTTAAATTCTTACGTGACATTTTTGAAATAAAACACACTAATTTTGTTCTAAAAAGAACAGATTTTATTAAATAGTTAAAAATATAAAACAAGAGATATTCACTTTAATATTCAAATAATGAAGTACAAAAAGTGTCAACACCGCAACTGTCAAATAAGTGTTACCAATTTATGCCAAAATTTTAGCTTTGTTCGATTACAGTTACAGTGTGTTCCGAACAAATGTTCTTGATAAAAACGCTTTATAATGCATTTATACAAATTAAATGAAACATATTATTGTGTATTTCTTTAAGTTAACATTAATAGAAATTTTTAAATATTATTTCTACGCGTATATAATAAAATATGTCTTGTGGCTGTAATGCCAGTGTAATCGGTAAAGTGATTCTAAAAAAGAACACACCTACACCCTAAATATTCTGTGTTGGTATCATGTAACGTCACAGGCTATGACGCCGATGACGTGCATCGTTATATAAATTAGATGAAGCGTATATATATATATATATATATATATATATATATATATATATATATATATATATATATATATATCGTACATTTTTTCGTACGTTTTGTATTACTGACAAAACTTACAATAAATCGTAGCGTGAAGAACAGCATACATAGCAAACTCTTTAGAAAGAAGTTTCACACTTATAAAGCTCTTTCTCTAGTGTGTCTTTTCAAATGGGATTTCAAAGTATTTTCTTGAATAAACTGCTTAAAACAAATTTCGCACTTGTAAGGTTTTTCTGCAGTGTGTGTTTTCAAATGGTCTTTTAAAGTATTTGATCGAGCAAACATCGTAAAACAAATTTGACACATGTACGGTTTTTCTTTAGTGTGTGTTCTAAAATGTGATTTCAAATTACTTGCTGCAGTAAACTGTTTTAAACATATTTCACATTTGTGAGGTTTTTCTCCAGTATGTGTTTCCACATGTAATTTCAACTGGATTGCTTGAGTAAATTGCTTAAAACAAATATCACACTTGTAAGGCTTTTCTCCAGTGTGAGTCATCAAATGTAACTTTAAAGTAAATGCTGCAGTAAAACGTTTAAAGCAAATATCACACTTGTGTGGCTTTTCTTTAGTATGTGTTCTTAAATGTGATTTCAAGTTACCTGCGGCAATAAACTGTTTCAAACAAATTTTACATTTGTGAGGATTGTTTTTAGTGTGTGTTCTCACATGTAATTTCAAATAAATTGCTTGAGTAAATGGCTTAGAACAAATATCACACTTGTAAGGCTTTTCACCGCTGTGAGTCATCAAATGTGATTTCAAAGTAGATGCTGCAGTAAACTGTTTAAAGCACATGTCACACTTGTAAGGCTTTTCTCCAGTGTGTTCTCGAATGCATTTTTAGATGAAATCGCTGAGAAAATGGTTTTAAACAAATATCACACTCGTAAGGCTTTTCTCCAGTGTGAGTCATCAAATGTGATTTCAAATTACTGGCTTGAGTAAACTGCTTTAAACAAATTTCACATTTGTGTGGTTTTTCTTCAGCATGTACTCTCGAATGTATTTTCAAATTAAATCGCTGAGAAAATTGTTTTAAACAAATTGCACATGTATAAGGACCTTTCCCAGTTTGCACTGTCATATTTTTATTTAATGTTTTTTCTTCAGCGTATCTAACCAAATCTTCTTTATGAGATGAATGTTCAGGTGTTTTCATTATGTTTTTATTCTGTAAACAACCTAAAATATAAACCAATTGTACACATTTAAATACAAAGAAAAATTTTTGCAGAAACTTAAGAACAAAAATAAAAAGTAACAAAAGTTTGTAACAAAAATTGGTTTTAATATTTTATTGCAATAGTACGAGTACGGAATATTTATTTAAACAGTGAATTTATTACATGTTAAGTATTTTTAATTTCTTTTGACGTATCATATAATGTTACTTATTAAGGTTTACCCAATAATCAAAGTTATACCTTTACAAAAACATATTATTTGAAACATAATGAGTAAATACATGTGTCATAATAATTGTAATCTCCTCTATACATACTTTAAAAATTTGTTTAGTAATGTATTTCTTAAACCCACACAATCATTGAAAATTGATTCATACTGTTTAAAAATAGGTATCTTTCTGTTAATGACACTGTTATCGACAAAGTATATCAAATTAAAACGTCATTCTCTTCTGTTTATCGTTAAAAATTAATTGATGATCGTAAGTTCTATTGGTGTTATTTAATAATTTAACAAAATAAATATTCAGCAAAAATCTTATTTAAAACATGCGAACGGTTTTTGCAATCACAATCAATGCAGAGTTTATGCTTGTTTAGAATTGGATGTTAAATAATTTGTGTTAGATTGTTTCGTCTGTTGTACAACCCTCGTCCTTTTTAGGGTGTGGTAGTTGTATATAAGTACCTATTTTTTAAAGTAGTGTAGTAATTAGTGCGGTATTTTAAAGCAAAATGAGTATTTGGAAGAAAATAAAATACAGTCGAAACATAGAGTGTTATCTCCAGAAGAACGGCATTTAGTTCTAAAAGTAGAAAGTCATTTGAATTTGGAAAAAAATAATATGGGTCCATTGACATCTGTTATGGCAGTTCAGAAACGCACATACGATGCTTGCGGTATCTCAGAGAGAAAATTCCGAAGAATTAATAACATGAGTGAGGATGAAATAAATAAAGTAAGCAAGAGAAATCGTTGACATCCAAAAACTTTGGATTTGCACAAGTTAATTAAACTTGCAATTCAAAATATTATATTAGCAAGCGAGCCATTAGCAAACTAGAAAACTGGTCTAATACTACTGGTCTGCGGTTCTCTTCCAATAAAACAAAAGCTATGCTTTTCAGCAAACACTTTAGAGCTAGTTTAATCTCTCCAAACCTAGTGTTAAATAACAATTCTACTGAATATGTAAAATATTTATTGTCTTGACAATAAAATTAGATAATCGTTTAATTGGAAAAGAACATAGTATGCACTTTCTTCAAAATCATAATTCAAATTCATAATTCCGCAATTAGGATAGCATTGGGGGCACATTACACATACCC